GGCGAGCGGGGGCCGCCCGGGCGGGATCCCAGCGGGGCGCAGAGCTCTGGCTGCGGCCATCCTGTGCGCGCTCCGCCCTGGCCCCGCAGGCTCCGATGCGCGCTCCGGCCCCGCCGCGCACTCCCCACCAGCCTGTTAGTGGGAGTGGGACCAGCCCCTCCTCCGCGGTGGCCCATGAGGGCGCTGGGCCTCAAAGAGAGGCGGGCCCCCAAAGAGAGGCGGTCCTGGCCACAGGGGCTCCCGGGCTCCCTCGTCTGCGGAGCCACAGCTTCCCCGAGCTCTGAGGACGAGCGCCACGGCCAGGAGGGGAGGCGGGAGCCCTAGTTTCCAGCAACCCGTGCACGGTGGCACCGCCTCACTCTGCGGTCCTCACCTGCAAGCAGAGGTGACTGCACTGCACGTTTCAGCCTCCCTAGTCCTCAGTGGCCTTGTGACAGAATGGGCCTGTTCTAAACCCTTCCCCTCATGGGCCAGAGGATGTCATGGAATAAAGCACGTGAAGCGCGGCACCCGGTGTATCATAGATGGTTTTCATGGCAGGAGGTCGGGCGGGCGCTTCTGAGACTCCCCTTTTCTTTCACTGGACCCCGGAGCAGAACCAGGGAACTGCCATGTGTCCCCAGACTTCTGGGAGAAACTTGGCCTTCTCAGTCCAAAACCTTGGCTTTGGGAGGGGAGTAGAGGATGGGAGAGGGGGGCGTGGCACCGGAGACCCGGGAGGAGGAGACTAACGCATGCGCTCTTGGTCAGGCACTACCGAGGCAGGCAGAAGCTGTACCCATTTACTGACTGGGTAACCGAGGCTCGGTAAAGGAAAGGGTGTACCCAAGCGCATCCAGGCGGGCAGTGGGTGGGCTTGGGTAGTTTAAGCTGTAGGTTCCCAGACCCTCCTTCCACAGACTTCAAGTTGTCCCAGGAGTGGGAGGGCTTAGGCTGGGGAGCCGCGAAGTTTGGGAAGACAGAGAGCAGGGGACCAGGACAGAATGTGGGTACCTTATCTCTTCAGCGACCTGCGAAAGCTATCTGTTCTGCCCTGTAGACGCAGTTGAGTTCCTGGGCTAGTTAGTTAAGGGCCTCCGTTTGCCCATCTCTAAAATGGGGATGTGGACGAGCAAATGGCTCCAAAGTCACCTCTATTTCTCTTTCTTTTCCGGGGTTTTGTAAGCCCTTCTGCTCCTTCCCGCCTCCTCCTCCTGGCTGGGGAGGTTGAGGCAGGGCAGGTGCGTCCCAGGCCCAGGCCTGAGCTCTGCCTCTCCACACCCTCCCTGCAGCCACCCGCGAGTCGGCCTTCGTACACGCCATCGCTTCTGCAGGTGTGGCCTTCGCCGTCACCCGCTCCTGCGCTGAGGGCACCTCCACCATCTGCGGCTGTGACTCGCATCATAAGGGGCCACCAGGAGAAGGCTGGAAGTGGGGCGGCTGCAGCGAGGACGCTGACTTCGGGGTGCTGGTATCCCGGGAGTTCGCGGATGCTCGCGAGAACAGGCCAGATGCACGCTCAGCCATGAACAAGCACAACAACGAGGCGGGCCGCACGGTGAGCCGTGGCAGCCCATGCCCCATCCACACCGGGGGCCCACCAGGCCCTCCCAGGCCCTTGCTGCCGCCCTGGGCCTTCCAAGTTCCCTTTCCCATGTGCCAGGCTTGAAGCACCCCCACAGCCAGTCACCTCTTCTGTTTACCGTTCTTCCTTCTTGGGCTGTTCCTGGTCTGGGTTGGGGATGAGGCTACCTGGGAATGTGGGAGAGGTACACCCGCCCATCCTGCCTCCCCCTTCTAATGGTTGCGTGCCCTGGGGCAAGTAAAGCTTCCGGCCTGGCCTCGGTTCCCCCATTGCTGACCCCCTATTTCCTCCTGCGTTGAGAAATGGACGCCATGTCTGCTAGTGCTTGGGTTGAAAGGGAGGGAAACACTGGTCTCCATCCCTCAGGTCTGCTCAGTTCTCATCAGTTCTCTTGCTGGCGCAGAGCAGGAGTAGAGGAGGCCGGAGGGGAGAGGGTGGGGGGACAGCGTGGGAAGGCCTCCGTGTGATCCCAGGTGGAGTCAGTCTGGGGACCAGCTGCTATTCCTCTTCCCCAGACCATCCTGGACCACATGCACCTCAAGTGCAAGTGCCACGGGCTGTCGGGCAGCTGCGAGGTGAAGACCTGCTGGTGGGCTCAGCCTGACTTCCGTGCCATTGGCGACTTCCTCAAGGACAAGTATGACAGTGCCTCGGAGATGGTGGTGGAGAAGCACCGTGAGTCCCGGGGCTGGGTGGAGACGCTCCGAGCCAAGTACGCGCTCTTCAAACCACCCACCGAGAGGGACCTGGTCTACTACGAGAACTCGCCCAACTTTTGTGAGCCCAACCCGGAGACGGGCTCCTTTGGCACCAGGGACCGGACTTGCAATGTCACCTCCCATGGCATCGATGGCTGCGATCTGCTCTGCTGTGGCCGTGGCCGCAACACGAGGACGGAGAAGCGGAAGGAGAAGTGCCACTGCATCTTCCACTGGTGCTGCTACGTCAGCTGCCAGGAGTGCATCCGCATCTACGACGTGCACACCTGCAAGTAGGGGGCCAGGTAGGGCCCAGGTGGGGAGGCTGGGGGCCTGGGTGCAGGGAGCCGGCTTGGCACACTACTCTTCCGTTTCTGAGCTATCCCAGACACATGTGTTCCCAGAGCCCAAATGGGAAGCCAGGACTTCCCAGCCCTGCCTGAGCCAGCTCCAGATCATGGACACGTGCTCGCCTGGTGGGTGTGCCTGACGCACTCAGGGAGGTCTCTGGACACCAAGGCGGAACCTTCCCATGTGGGTCAGTGTTGCAGAGTGCTGGGTTTTGCTGCTACACCACCGTCTGGCCCTCTCTTACCAGATTTTTGCACGGCCACTGGCTATCGTTATCGAGCATCTTTGGAGCTGGATGAGGGACACCAAGGGGTTGGAAGCTGGGAGACCTGACATGTGGTCCTGGCTTTGTCCTTTCATCTTTCACCTCTCTAGGTCTCAGTTTTTCTTACTGTAAAGCAAGGGGTAAAATAACCTGAAGTAGTAGGCCAAAAAGTCTCTCCTAGCCCTAGGGCAGAGTCCTTCTGCATCCACCTTGAACTTAGAGGGCAGGTTTTCGCACAAGCATAAATCCTACCACGCTCAGGGAGGTGGGTGGGGGGAAGCGGTGGATGAGCCCATATCCTGACACATCTGACGCCTGGGTGGAGCGGGGAGCACTCTCACCGAGTTTATGGATGCTGATGGGAGCAGGAGGGATTCAAGTTCAGAGTGACTGTGATGAGTAATCCAGGGATCAAAGGCTGGTGGATTATGTTCCCAAGCTTCCCAGAGGTGGCCTGTGTGGGAGGCACTGTGCACTGGCCCTCGGATCCATGGGACCCCAGGAGAGGTCAACATGACAGAGGTCCTGGAGCCTTGGGGTGGGAGGCCTTAGGGCCGGTGTGCCCTTTCTCCCTCTGTCTCCCCTGGGAAGGAGCCTAGTGGGTAGAGGCAGGAGCACGGGCTTTGAATCAGACCTGCCCTGGTCCAGCCTCCTCTGCTTTCCAACCGTGTGACCCAGGCGAGCATTCATCATAGACCTGTTTCCTCCTCTGTCGTTTTCCCCAGGGGTACTGTGAGGAGCCAGTGAAAGAACACTGGGAGAGGGCTCAGTTAACACGCACTTGCCTGCTGGGTCATCGCTGGCTGGGACAGGGCTGGAGGGAACTTCCTTTAGGTGATAGGGGTCCACGTAGGACCCCTCAGAGCTGGTGGCTACGTCTGTGCTGAGTGGGACACTGCACAGGGCCTCTCTGGGACTTGGGGTTTCCCAAGGTCATGGGGAAGAACACACTTTGAGGGGTGGCTAGCGGCCTCTGGGTGAACAGAGCTGGCCACCTGGGGGGCCCCTCAATGTGGGTCATTATGTCCTGGCAGGCACAGAGCCCAGAAGGCAGCCGGAGGCACTGCCTTTGGTGGGGTCAAGGCGGGGTGCAGAATGGAAAGAGGACAGAAGTGAGGTCCAGCCCCACCGCTTGCCAGCTGTCAGCCTTGGGTCCCCAGTCCCCTCATCTGCATAGTAGCAGCATAATGGCAGCCTCGTGGAATTGTTATGGGGCTCCGGTGGGCTCACAGCTGTACCTGCTTCTCGGAATCTAGTAGTAATAGAAAGCATGACCGATGCCATCAGAGAGTCATGATGCATTGTGCAAAGAAATTGCATCAGCACTTGGTCAGTTTCATTTAGGGTTTTTCAAAAGGACAGAGAAAAGTCAGTGAGTAAGAGACCTCACAGGCCACTTACGGCTTGTCAAGGTGGACAGAATCTTTTAGAACCCCAGGGGCTCCCTTCCTCCAGTGCTCACTATGGCCAGAGGCCTCACGGTGCCCTTCCCCGCAGCAGGTCATGTCTGTGAGACGGCTGTGGGGAAGCAGAGTTTAGGTCACTAACACTGCCCAGGGTCTGGAGGCCTCTTATCCAGCCTGTGTGTTAGCAGCTAAGGCAGGGCCCAGGTCTCGGCAGAAAGCCCCCTATGTGGGTCTGGCTGAGGCCACAGCAGCAGCAGCCTAAGCTCCACCAGTGGCTCTAGGGACAGGGTTTGTCAGAGATACACACCCCTGCAGCTCTGTCCCAGCACCTCCCTGCCCTGCAAGGGCAGCTGAGAGCTGGGGAAGGAGGTGCTGGGTTGGGTCTTGGTGTTCACAGAATTCTCTCCCCTCCAACCGCTGTACTGATGCTGACCCTAGGAAAAACTGATCCCTCTTCAGCCTTTTCTCCTGTTTCTGAAGTAGAGGCTTGGTGCTCTTGCCAGTCACATGTAAAGTGCAGCAGATGGTGTAATGGTTACATTGCTGGACTCCCACATGGCTGACCATGGTTCGAGTCCTGGACCTGGAAGCTTGAAACTCACACTGTGCACATGTGTGTGTCTGCCCAAAATCCTGAGAGGAGAATGGAGGAGAAGGGATTACAGCATGGTCATCCCCCCAGGAGGTGATTTCTCACTGTCTATTTCTCCAGTGAGCGCACATACCCTATAGCAAAAAAACTCTCTCTCTAAAAAAAAAAAAAAAGTGTATAGATGTGATTGCCAGGCCAGGTAGGTCACCTAAATGAAAGTGGCCAAGCAGGGATGCACATTTTTGGCACAATGGTTGCCCTGTGTCATGACTGTCGATGGCATTTGTCACACTTTGTATTAGCAGTTGTAATAGAATGACTAGTGGTAACTACTGGGACTGGTTGTAATAGAAACCTGGAGCCCGCACCTCAGACAAGTGGAGACTGCTCCCCCAGGGTGGTGCCCTTTTGGTAAATACTGAACTCATGGACTAAATCCAGGCAAGCTCTTTGGCCTCTCTGAGCCACGCTTTCCTCAGTTTTGAACTGGGCACCATGTCCCACCATGTCCTGTGGACTAGAGCCTGGTATAGGGCCTGGCACGTAGTCCTGGTGAGGGCTTGGAGAGAGGCATCAGAGGTTCCTGGGACAGGCAGAGTGGACCTCTGAGGGTGACTTTCCCCAGGCACGGTGCTTGGTCTGGAGCCACAGGCCAAGGATTGGCTGAGCTTTCCCCACCCTTTCATCAATGACACTACGGGCAAGGTGGGAACCCACGAGATGAGCTGGCAGGGAGTGCAGGGATGGAGCCTCTAGGTTTCTCTTGGCCACGCTGTTGGTCTTGGCAGTGCACCTAGGAGGGAGGAGGGGGCTTCAGAGCAGGCCATGTGCTGTCCACACCCTGAGGGAGAGTCAGTCAGAGCAGTGCCAGGCCATGAGAAGAGCAGTCTTGCCTGAGTCCTTCCAGCGTGGGGACATGCCAGTTCTTACAGCATCTGCCAGTGTCTCTGGTCTGGCACCTTAGTGCTGGTACCTGACAAGTCCCAGATTTATTCCTGGTTATTCTAATGCTGGGAGCATGGTGAGCTGAAAAGGTTCTGAGCAAGAGTCAAGTGGCCTGGCTGACCCCATGTCCTCAATCTGTCACTAACTTGCCACTTGCGTTGGGCAGATCCCTTTAATCTTGCTGGGCCTCCGTATACTAGTTTGTGTTGGCCCTGCCAGTGCCCTAGAGGGTTGACTGGGAGTGCCTGTGAGCCCACTTTGTGCCTCGGACCTTTGTGAGGTGCAGCTACACAACAGGAAAATGTACAGTTGGGGCTCCCGTGGGCAGGACTTACAGTAGTTAATTAAGTAGGCTTCCTCCTGAGGGGACAGCTCATTATCAAGCTCTTTGGTGTAATACACAAACAGCCCGTGCCTGGCATTAGCCCCAAACAGGGGTCCACTGGAAGTTGGGGCCCAGGTCCTCAGACTGGCAGGGTTTCTCCCAGTCCCTTTACAAGATGAAATCTTGCTGTCGGTATTACCAACTACCAGGCTTCCTGGTGCCAAGGCTCTTGGCTGGAATCGAGGGAGGTAGGATTTGCATTTGGTCTGTGGGCCCGACTTCACTCCTGGCCCCATAAATCACACGGGCTCCCTCCACGACAGTCCTAAAGCGCAGGAGAAATGTGCTCTCCTATGAGCAGCTCTGAGCTTTCCACCCCAGTGGGTGGCCTTTCTGGTAAGGGATTGTTTCTGACTCTTCTTTATTTTCCAAAGGGCACTGGGAAGCGGTGAAGTGTGTGGCTGGGCGGATTCACCGAAGCCCGCTGGGAAGCAGGACCTGCTGCCACGCTCAGCCCTCGGCGTCAGCCAGTGAGGAACACGGACTGTCACCACTGCTCGTGGTAAACGGCCTGCACCCGACCTGCCTGCTGGCTGGGAGGCCTCCTCCCTCTTTCTCATCTCACGTTTCTCACCCTACTCTGGATGGTGTGTGGCTTTTTTTTTTTTTTTTAAAGGGGGCTTTCTTTTTAGTTCTCTAGGGTCTGATAGGAACAGACCCAAGGCTTATCTTTGCACATGTTAAAGAAAATAAAAATGAAAAAAAAATTCTACTCCAACAGAACAGGCTGGGCTGATGTGAGCTCTCGGCCTGGTGGTAAGACATCAGCCCGGGCCAGATGCTGTTTGCAGACTGCTTCTTACGGTGGCATTCCAAGATGCCTGTCAGGTGGGAGTTCTGAAGTAGGACAAAGCCCTGTGGTCTCCTTTTCCCTGTCTACTCCCCTTCGAATCTGATCCACTTCCACATTCTGATATAAGCCATAGGTTTAGCTAGGATGAAGCGTATGGAGGTCTGAGGCAATTGTGAGAGTAGGATTTGGAGTTTTGAAGAGCAGGAGTTCTGGGGGGCCTGGCAAGCTGTTTGAGGAACAGCTGTGTATTCTTCTCAGTCCCATTTTCTAACGACCCTGTTCTGCACGAAAGGCAGGCATATCTCCAAATCTTTTCCTACCATTGAGCGGCTTCCTCAGTGCAGTACGTGTTTCTGCAGTGGACACTGTATGTAGGCTGTGCATGGGAGCAAGCCTTCTCCAGCTCCGATGGCTGCCGAATTAGAAAGCAGCCACGTCTTTGAAAGGGGCCAGCCAATCCTTCCGCGTCTTGCTCACCTGCAGTCTCCAGCTAGAGCAGGTGGACTCTTGCTCACTTCGTGTAAATTAGGCCCAGGGTCAGTGCGAGAGTAGCCATCTACTCCTGAGATTCCAACCTCGTGACTAGCGGAGGGGGAGGAAGAAAGGGGTCCCTTAATTTCCTTCCCAACAAGGACATGTCTTCCTGCATCCTTCCCTCTCTCTGGCCCATGTGAGGAAACAGAAATGCAGCTCTTTCACCATAGCCTGCCTGTCACCAAGGATTGGGTGTTGAAGGGGCACAAGCAGACACTCGCTCCCTCGGGTGAAGCATCTCTCTCACAGCTGAGTTCTCCCTACTGTACGCTGGCCCTGTCAAGGGACCTGGAGGAAGTTAGACAAACGGAGGAAAGGGGTGTGATAGTACTAATTATCCGACACCTGTCTTCAGGAGAATCAGAACAGATGCCGGGGAGCAGAGCAGAACAAAGATTTTTCTTTCTTTCCTCCCTTTTCTTGGGGTTTTACTTAATCCTGACCTAAGACACCAGGCAGCAGTCTCCCGGCTTGGGCGGGCAGGCTTACCAAGGTGGTCCCTGGAAGCCTGCCTGTACCGACCCTGCTGGCCACAGCCCTGCTGAAGTTAGACATCCCGCCCCTGCTCTGGAGTCTGAAATGCCCCTCCCCACCTCACCCTAGACTGAGAAGTTTTAAATCATGTCAACGGATAATGCTTGCTTTATGTGAGACCACTTCAGCAGAACGGATACAAATCTTCAAAACACTCTTTTCATATCTATGTATTCTATATTAAAAGTGATAAAGTCATGTTTCTGGGGCGTATTCAAGTAGCTGACAAGTAATTATTTAATAATAGTACATGAGTGCATTGTAATTATTCTCGCCGTAGTCAGGTAATAGTATCCAACAGAAATTTCCTACCAACCTGCTGTATCCAAAGTTTTGTAAAAAGTTGTAGAAGTTGTTGATCTTTTTGATTTTATATTCAAAAAGTCTCTTTTTATAAATATTATTTATTATACAATGTATATACCTTTGATGTAACTAAGATTATATATTATATAAATATATATATATTTGGAGAAAATATATTTCATCATGCAGTTTTTTTCTGTTAAGTCATTAAAGAGAAGGTAAAACAAACTTAAAACGGATACATTGTACAATGTGTGGAGTTTCCAGGTTAATGCTTAGGTCAAGAATATTCCATTCTGAATGTGGTGGCTTCAGCTTACTCAATGACCAAATTAAGGTCATGTTTTCTGTTCTCCAAGCCAGATCACCTGAGATGTCATGGACACTAGGTCTGATCTAGAACTTTCATACAGGCTTGCTTTGTTCTAAGTCAGCCTCTAACGAGGAATTGCCAGGGCTGGAAACATCCAATTTGGGGGTCTTACTCATTTCCTAGTCTCGAGCACTTTCGATATACAGACTAACATCACAGGTACTCCTAAAAGGTGTGGCCCAAAGGCCCCAGACTGTGGAGCTGGCCACTGCCTTCATCCCCTCCTCGCCACTTTCAACTCCACTTGTCGGGAAAATAGGGTTTGTCCTATTGAAAATGAATCTTCAGTGACAATGGCCTCTTCCGTAATAGCTCTGCTGGGAAAGGGCAGGTTGGTCACCAAGCAATGGTGTGCCCCGGGCCCTGGTTGTCTGGGACAAGCATCATCTGAAGCTCATTGGGCAGAAAGGACCTACCACCGGGGCACAATCTGGGGAAGGGCCCTCTCTCCTCGACTGCCACTTCAGAAGGACTTGCCTGAAGTTCTCCAAGTTGCGCCTTCCTGACGAGATGCCCTAACTCGGGTCTCTGATAAGCCTTTTAGTTTTCCGAATGCCCAGGAAACATCACTCATCTTCAGTTTACGTGGTGCGGAGGACTTTACTTGGTTAAATGGCTAAAATAGTTTCTTTTTTTCTCCCCCTTTCTCCTGATCCACCTCTATTAAGAACAAGTCTGGGTCAGACGGTGGTGAAGGCCGCTGGATCCCACATGGCTGACAGCATAGTTCGAGTCCCAGACTTGGTGACTTGAAAAACATGACAAGCATGTGTGCGTCCCCCAAATCCCCAGAAGATAAGACAGGAGGAACTGTGGTGTGGCCACCCACCCGGGGGTGCTTTTGCACGTTCTGTTTCTGACAATCATACCTGCCCTATAGCACAATTCTTTAAACATTAAAACAAAAAAAGAGCAAATCTTACCTCACTTCATAGAAAAATGACAGGAAACTGAAGCACATAGCTTGGCTCAGTACAGATGGGCTGCCTTTGTTTCATTCAGACCTCAAGACTTAAGATTAGAAATGACCCCTGGAAGTCCATGGACTTCACTTTACCCACGATGTCTCTTTATTTAGTTCCTGAAAAGCTTAAGCTGAGCAAGGAATTGGCCACGTGGTGTATACAGGCCTCCTCCCTACCTTATGGTTCCGGCCATCTCTTACGCCACTTCTGCTGTCACTCTTAGGTGAACTAATACCCGGCTATCCCAGCGTTCGGAGAACTTTCTTTTTAACCTGCAAGACTGCCAGACTTTTAAATGGTCCCAATTCCTGCTTACCAAAGCCATTTGAAATCCTATGATCAATCGTAGAATATGATGAAAGACAACACCCTTTATAGCTGTGCGTGAACATTTAGTTTCTCCCTAAGCCTACATGCTGACAAACATCTAAAATGAAAGTATTTAAAAAATAAAGAAGGGAGACAATTTAGCGAGAAGCTATCTTCCGAAGCAGTATTATTTTATGAAGAAAGAAGGAAAGAGAAGTGTGTGAGTTCAAGGATGAGGTACAAATAAAAGCAAAGCCTTCGAAGCAGGTAAGGAAGACAAGAAGGGGCCAGCAAGGTTGTGGTGAAGGCAGCTGGATCCCATATGGCCAGCTGTGTGGTTCAAGCCCCAGATCAGTGGCCTGAAAAACATGCCATGCACATGTGCACGTGTGCCCAAAATCCCTAGAGGAGACTGGAGAAGGGATTGTGGTGTGGCCATCCCCTCCCAGGGAGTGATTTCTCTCTCTTTCTGCTAAGCACATGCATGTACTCTCTAGCAAATTAAAAATAAGAAAGAAAGAAAAGTAAAAAAGTAAGAGGAAACATGATGGTGAGATTATTCTAGGTGTATTTAACATTTCCCATGCCAGCCCTGTGTATACGGACACACATGACACGTTAAAATTTGTAGAAAGGGCTGGCCCTCTAGTGCAGTGGCTAGGTGCTGTGGATAAGGAGCCAATCCCACACGGCTGAGTGTGGCTTGAAATCTTGAACTGGCAGCTTGAAAAACATGCTGGGTGTGTGTGTATGTGTGGCCAAATCTGGACAGGACTGAGGGATGGAGGAGAGGGAATTGTAGTGTGACCATACTCCATTGGGGGAGGGTGCTTCTTTTCTCTGCCTGGTGAGCACATGCACCCTTTGGCAGTTAAAGAAAAAGAAAAAGGGGCTGGCAGGTGGCGTAGTGGTTTAGATGCTGGACTACCGCATGGCTGACCACGGTTCAAGCCTTGGACCTTGCGGCTTGCTTTCTCACTTTCCATTTTCCTCTGGTCAAATGAAAAAAAAAAATAGCGATAATAAATAAAATGAAAAAAACAAGGAAAAAATTGCAGAAAAGGGGAATTAAACTATGAGTTTATGTTAGTGCAAAAAATTGGAAAACGGGCATAGTTCTCATCATTTACATTTTCCATGAACTTGGAGACCTGGATCTACACACGAGTGAAGGTGATTCAGCTAAAGTATAGCTGTTATACTTTCATCATTTCTTCTTCCTTCAGAGAGAACTTTCTGGGAAACAGAATGTGATCTTACCATTAATCACGCACTCCCAAAACAGTGGGACAAGGTCAGTTGCAGGTGGCCATATGCAATTATAGGAAAATTTCAAACTTAAGTCCTCCTTGCACGTACTGCCTTCGCCTCCCTGGGATTCTCACTCATCACAGGTGCTGTCTCCTGCATCTCAACGCCATGGTGTCTGTCCAGCACACACCCTCCCTGAGCTCATCTCCAGGACCCATCTCAGCATGGCTGTCAGCTGATGCGATGCTTTAGATCATTTTGCAGTAACTTCTGAAATTTACATGCTTTTTGAGCTCTCATACACACCTTTGCCAGTCACTTTTTTGAAGAGGTTATGGATCAAATTGCCAGGCAAGGAAAATGAAATCCTGCCTTTACCTTCTGTGTTTGGGCTGGGTGTTTGTTTATGGCTGACTCAAGGCTTCAACAAGTCTGTTTATCAGGATCTGATTATTATGCACACTCGAGTCTACTCCATGATTTTGTTACTTGTTGTTGACACTTAAAGGGGAGGCCAATCACAGTAGTTTTTAGGCAGCCTTAGGGGCTGGCGGATAGCATGGTGGTTAAGGGAGCTGGACTCTCACATAACTGATCACAGTTCAAGTCCCAGACCTGGCAGCTTGCTTTCTCACTTTCCTTCTTTCTCACTGACTCTCTGTGGTCAACTTAAATAATAACAATAATAATAAAATAATGACAATGAATAAAGTTAAATAAAATAATTATTTTTAAAAAGTCAGCTTTAGAGCAAAATGTATTTCAGATATTAACGCAATGATATAATTTCTCTGTGTTACTTTTTTTTTTTTAAGTATCTCAGTGAAGATGTACACATTAGTACGGATGAAATAACCACCTCCTTTGATTTTTCTTTTTTTCTGAGAGGTTTTTGCTACATTTTGTGCGTGTGCTCACCAGAAAGAGAGACAAAAAGTGAGAAATCACCCCCAAGTGGGATGGCCACGCCGCAATCTCTTCTCTTCAATTCTCCTCTCAGGATCTTGGGCACACACGCATGCACACATGCCCGGCGTGAGTTTAAGCCACCAGGTCCGGGACTCAAACCATGGTAGACTACATGGGAGTCCAGCGACATAGCCATTACGCCAACTGCTGGGTCCCGTCCTTTGAGGTTTTAATGATATCTTCTGCCACCACCATCCCTCCCCCGATGGTTAATAGATCATTGGTAGATGAAGAAACCTTCAGAAGCAGGTGGTTGGAGTCTTTGCCACATTGGCAGGCCAGTCTGTGGTCTCACCCACTCGGCTCTGGCATGGGCTCTGAGGATCCCTGGGACAGCTTCCAGAACCTGCCTTCCCAGGCTGGCCTATAAGTCATTGAGGAGCTGACCTTGCTGTGAGGCCTCCTCCCCACAGAGCCATGCTGAGTTTCCCAGCGATCTCACCTGGGCCTGTGCTAAAGATTGTGGTTAGGTTAAGAGATCTGGGCGCTCAGGAAACTGAAGAGCAAACATCTATCAGGGATACCCAAGTGAGGCGTCTGAAGATGTATCGCGAGACTGTTGGAGTCCCTCGGTTTGTAGATGTCACAAGAAGGAGAAACAACTTTCCTATCCGGCTTATTACTAATCTTATAGACAGCTTTGGTACCTCAGTTTTTAATCAGGTAACATAAGTATAAACGCGAAAGTATAAAGATTCTTGTTATGCACCAACTTTTTTGATATGCTAATGATTTGTTTTTCTTTTCAAATATCTTTCTAAATAATTAAGAGATTTTAAAATAAAAATCATCCATCTCCTTGTGCTGATTGTAACAAAGCAAGGAGGGGCCCCTGTTTCCTCCTTCATACATTCCTGTCGGTTACATGTGTTGTTTTTGTATGAAATACTGGTCTTCAGAATGTTTTCAAGTATATTTACTCTTTATTGCATTCCTTCATTTGCATTAAACAATATAATATTCATATTTTTCAATATAGTTTTGGACAAAACACAAAGACATTACCCTCATTTAACAAAAGACATAAGTTAAAACAATGTGTGCTGTTGTCACGGGAAGAGGAAAGGCGAGATCCTAAACATAAGGGCGTCCAGGATACTGGCCACTAAGAATCACGGAATTTCACAATAAATCCACTTTTAAAAAAGTCACAAAATAAGCTAGGGATGAAAACCCAACACAAAGTAGCTATAACATATACGTCTCTACCAAAAAGCATACAGATAGCAAGATACAGAGAGGAGACGCCTTCTACCATGGGGGCTAAAGACAGAGCCACACCCAGTTCCGATGGAGCCTCAGTGGCCTGCGGTGTTGGCCTGCCTGCGGTCGGTGCTGCAGCTCAGGGTGGCCTCCCACAGCTTCTCACGTTTTAAGCAGCAATGGGAAGAGTGGCATGCTCCCTAAGTCTCATAACCAAATAGCATGTCCTGACTGAACTCCTTCTCAAGCAGCCGTAAGACAGAGCTCCACCAAAAGACTCAGCAAGTGTTCCTTTCTTTGGAAAAGGCATGTAGAGGGGAAAGAAATGTGTTCAGCGTATTGGAATGGACGTTGAAGGACTGAGGGGATGGGGCTGGAAAATGGTTTACGTCTTCTGGAGAATAATAGTGTTTTATTTAGATACTAGATAGTACAGATCATTTGAAGTAAAGGAAGGATAAATTCTAAGTAAGTCATTAAGATAAGGAGAAAGGAAAAATGGGGATACTAATAAGCCTTTCATATTATACCAAGATATTGACCCACTTAGAGCTGGGTACTAATTAGTGCCGAGAGGCTTGTAAATTATTTTAATAACTCCTTTCTGTGTAGAGGTGTACACTTTTCCATCCGAATCTCTCCTATGTTTCTAACGACACCCACCGAGTGTGATAATTAGCAAGCCTCTCACCACAGAGCACATCAGGTGTACTAAGGAGATGCCACAGACAACACAATAATCATCTCACTTTCTATTAAGGAAGATCTCCTGATTGAATCTTGGAAACATCTCTGGAAATGATTGAGAGCAGCATCGTAGATATTCAAGGCCCTGTTTCTCCAGGCAAAAATAATAACCAGTTTTGTGGGAGAACCTTTAACTGAATACCCAACTATCTTTACTGTCAGGTCAGAAATGTAAGAGAATCCTTTGTTCACTGCTCCAGGTTTGCACGTTGGAGCCTACCTATTAACAGGCCAAGTGTGGTCTTGCAACATTCACCCCATTTCTAGACAGTACTGGGAGACGGGTGGGGGCTTAAAAGGTGTAGTGTTCACAAGTACAGTATGTCTCCTACATGGAGAGGCCAGGTAAGAAGGAAGCAGCTTGCATGGAAAGGTGAGCACAGCATTCTAAAGCAAATCTGCACCTGTCACAAAACACCAGAATGTTGTAATAAGCAAGGGAGAGAGCTGCATTGCACTACTCATGCAGAGCGAGCACGTGTTGAAGGTAGAGATTATTTCACGGAGTCCAGGATCGCGAATGAGATGAGTGAAGATCCCAGGCCTTCTTCACCTTGGTCACTTCCCTTGGTCAGTGCGTGTCACAAACTGTTTTCAATCAAATTCAAGGGGGCTACTGCACAAGAAATACCCAAAACAAAACAGAAAAACAGATGAGGGTCTGCCAAAAGCCATTGATCACAAAATCACTAAAAGCTTAATGGTTTTTCTACATTTCCCACTATGCATTTGCTATTAGATGAGCACTTCACAAAAGTCATGGTCACAGCTCCATGCACATAAAAGCAGGTTCTGATAGATATGTACCATCGAGTTTTTTCCTGCACTGTGACAAGGAAGTTTTGCGAAGCAGGACAGGGAGAGCAAACCAACAGTACAACCAACTTCCTTGCTTGGTCTCTCAGACCTACAACACAGTGAAGAAGTCCAATAAATGGAAACAAAGTTGTCTAAGGAAGAGACTATCAAATCCGTGTGCACTGTACAGGAACTGGGAATCAACAGTGGGAAATCCGGGCTTCGGAGCAATGTGTACTTACGCTCCTTCTTCTCTTAAGAGGGCCAAGAACTTTCTCACACGGTATTCAGGATCCATCTAGACACATTGGAAGACATAAAGAACATGCATTAATGGGCCTCCTGATGACCACGCACTTCCTTCGTTGCTCTTATACTTCCAGCAGTGCTCTGCCGAGTCATGGAAACAGGTACCTGTCCCCTGACCAGTATCTGACACGCAAGGCCGATGGTGCCTTTCAGAGAAGTGAAAGGGATCTCCTAGCATGGAGCGCCACTGCACTAGGTTCCAAAGGCCTGACCCACCTGCTCATTCACAGGCCCCTCGGCCAAGCCTGAGCGCTCCTCTAGCTAGTGCTTAACTGTGAGGCACCTTGGGACTAGACTAGAGTCTGTCCGGGGGTTCAAAGGACATCCAACTCATCTAAGTTGTAAAAACAGAGTACAACTAGACTTGAAATCAAACTGAAGTTGATAAAGCCACTAACAGTAGCTTATTTAATGCTGTGACCAACAGCTTAGCTCTTCCTCAGCACCCCTTGCATAGTTTCTTCTTTGCAACGAATAAAGAAAGTTGGGCTGTGGGACCAGCAGTTAGCATAATGGCTATGTTGCTGGACTCCCATGTAGTCGACTGCGGTTCACGTCCCGGACCCGGTGGCTTAAATTCACGCCGGGCGCGTGTGCGTGCATGCCCAAGATCCCGAGAGGAGAATGGAGAAGGGATTGTGGCGTGGCCATCCCCCTGGGGGGGGGGGAATTTCTTGCTTTCTATCTCTCTG